AGATGTTGAGAATAGCACAAGACAGGACAAGGTAGATTTTGTTGTTCGTAGAGTCACTCTGAGCTGAGGTTGACTCTATGGCACCAAACAACAAGGACAGACACCAGTATTGAAGAAAGGAGGAGAGAGAATGGTGTTCCTGATAGAAGCAGGAGACTGACACCACTGTCAACGAGAAAAGGGTATTGGTCACAGCTATCATTGAGTCTGTTTCAACTCCTGCTGACCTTCCATCACCTTTCTGAGGCTACACTTCTTTTCTGGAGGAGATTATCTGTCTGTCTTCAGAGGAGCAGCTGGTGGATTTGGATGGCAGCCTAATATGTTACACATCGTGTCACCAAGGCTCCTTTGCCAAGACCCAGGACATTCAAGAGTTAGCTGGAGACTGCATCACAGCATAGGAAGAAAACTCAAGAGCCTGAATGAACATTCAACTTCATTTCTAGCCTGATTAATGTAATAAACATTTTGTCACTCATATCCCCAAACAAGGTGTATTTGGCTTGAGAAGATCAATGAGTGATTAGAAGAGGGAGGAGGAATCTGAATCAGGTACAAATTTAGAGCTGTAAAGATAACAGACACATTGAGACATGTACCGGCGCACAAATAGACAACTACAATCTATTGGAACGATTATTAAAGATGAGGGAGATGGTGGTTAAGTTCAGGCAGAGGAGAGGTGGGGGAAGGTACCAGCAGATGCACTGTGGGAGAGAAAGATCTGGAGCTAGGACTGGAAGGGTGAGTGTCATGTGACCTGTGCATGTGGAGGAAGTGCAGGTCAGGATGCAGTGATGCTGTGAACAGGAATGCAAGGGAGCACATGGGCACATCCAGACAAGAGCGTGAAGCTTGAGTCAGTTGCCCTGCCACTAGGGGCACTTGGCATTACTTTTGGCCAGTTCTTCATTGCGTGAGTCTATCCCATGCATTTTAGGTTGCAAAACATCGCTGTTGCCCCCTAATCTAAATGCCAGTAGTCATTGCCCTTTTCTGCTTGCATTTCAGGCACCTCTCTCTGTCCTGTGAAAATCACCAGGTGGATTTGCAAAGACAAGTGGCAAAATCGGTTAGGTGAGAAAAGACAACAAGTATTAGCAAGTCCATGGAGGCCTCTGACGTCAGGACATTTGAACTTTGGGAAGCAAGCAGCCTTTTCTTCAGGAATCGGACAGGATGTAGAGTGTGCAGCAGTGCACAGGATGAACGGAAGGTTGAGCAAAGGCAGGGAAATCCGTTACAGTCCCTGGTGCCCTCTCACCCAGGTTATTTCCAGTAGGGACACACCACGCTGTGCACAGTCATGGGCATACGGCAAAGGTCATGGCAGTCCTGACTGCACGGTCTAACCACTGATGTTGGCAGCGACCTATCGTTGAGTGCTGTCCATCACAGAGAGAACAGACTCACGGAGTTTTTCTGGCTTTAATCTTTACAAAAGTAAGTATGATCTTTCTCCTGCAGAACTGCTGGGGGGTTCAGACTCCCAAACTTTTGGTTTAAGAGCAGTGGAGGGAGCTCTGGTGGCCTAGTGGCAAGAAGCTGCACTGCAATCCCAGAGGTATGCGGTTAGAATCCATCAGATGCTCTGCTGGAAAAGGAGGGGCAATCTCCTCCTGTACCAATCAGATCTGATTTGACGGTGTACACACACACACACACACACACACACACACACACACACACACACACACCCCTAAACCCAGTTGAGCACTGGATTTATCAGAAGACTCAATCAATCACCCATTGCTGTCAAATTTGGCACAGAGCAGCCTCCTGTGTGTTGTGTTAAACCGCTCTATAGTTTTCCATGGCTACATTCTTAAATACATACCACCAGGTCTTTTTTTATCAGCAACGCTGGATGGAGTTCAATCACCAACTTTTTGTTATGTGCTGTCAAGTTGGAACCGTAGCTGACTCTCCAGCAGGTTTTGAGATACTATCAAATCGCACAGGGGGAGAGTGCCCATCTTTCTCCTTTGGAGCAGCTGGTGGATTCGAATCACATGCCTTTGTGTCAGCAGTGCAATTCGGTCCCACTAGGCTACCAGAGCACCCTCCCTTTAGAATAGTGTTTGCCACAATAGGGTCCCATTGTTTTATTCATCTTTCCAATAAACTAGGTAGGCTGGTAAGGTCAGTGGTGAGATGGGTGAGGCTGCAAGGCAGCCTGGGGATGATCCTGTGGTTGCTCCTCCCCCTCAGTTCCTACCTGCAAAACTTCTGGAAACAAGCAGGGGAATGGCCGCCCTGGGAGGGTTTTTCCTCTCACCTCCTGCCCGGGGTCTGTTGCTTTCTTAGTAAACGACCCCTTAGAGTTGAATAAAGGGGCTGTTCAGCCTGGGCACAGGAGAGACATAAGAAGACACTTACTTCCTGCTCCATCCCTTTCCTGGACAAGACATGGCTTTTGATTCAAGGCCCAGAGAACCATGCACTGATAAAGGACCATTGTAGTAGCTTCTGGAGAAACCTGGAGGCCATCAAGGGACTCGTTGGCTAGGCAGCCAGTTAATAGGATCTGAACATTTGTGAAAAGAATCACTTGGCGGAAGCCAACACATAGCAGGAGGCGGCCCCTGAGCTGCCACCGGGCTGTGCCTCTGCCGTCTATGTTTGGGCGGCTAACGGCAAAACCTGACTTGCCGCTGCAAGGGCTGACCTGCAGGCAGGAGCCTACAAGCTGGGAGAGGACTCTGGTCTCCTCTTCCTACACCTGGAGAGTGAAATCCAATCACCCGCTGAGCTGAATGCAGGAAATGCAAACGCTCTTTTAAAAAGGACCTGGGGAAGAGAGAGGAGCCTCCAGCCCCTGGCGCCCCAAAGGGTGTCTAAAGCAATAAACGGCAGGAAAGGAGGAGAGCTGCAGCGTGGAAGCCAGTCTGGAACTTATTTAGGCATCACGCACTTTCTGCTTTGCTCTTCAGCGTTGAGCCCAGGCACCTCATCATTCAGTCATGTTCTCCCAGGAACAGGAGTGGAAGAGGTATCCTGAGGTCTGAGAAATACTAGGGAAAGTGGCAGGGAATTAGGGAAAAGGGAGGCACAGAAGGATCAGAATGAGGCTTCTGCTGGGAGCCTCATGGTTCAGCCGAGGGTCAAGGGCTCATTAGCTCCAGGAGAGGAGGCTGCATGGTATCCAACTAGAACTGAGCCTACAGGCCTGGCCAAGGGGAAGGTGCAGGGAGTGGGTTCTCTCTCCTCCTGGCTCCACCCTGAATCTGTGCATCAGGTTCCCCTCCTCCCCAGCTGACAGCTGGTCCCATCATTCTGGGACAGGAAACAGGGAATCAGAGACCAGCCTTGGTCCTCTTAAAGGCCCCTCTGCACAGCCAGGTGTTGAGTGCAGGGATTAGTGAGAGCAGAGCTCAGTCAGCACAGTGGGCTCTGCCTGCTCTCTCCACTTTGTGCTTGAAAGGACAGGAGGTGGGTGACTGACACTGTTCACATCACGATTCTAAGTTCAAACCCCACCCTCCAAACCTAACATAGTTGCTCTTCCACCCCAAGCCCCTTTTGCAACAAAAAGTCAGCCATGTAACCCACTGCAGAGCAGCCATGTGAAAACGTCAAATTCGAGCAGCTGCAGCATGTACATTTCCGTCAGTTGCACAGGGAAGAGGAAACCTTGCTCTCACTACAGGCAGACCTCCAAGCCTTTCATGAATATACCCACTGCCACTGAGTTGATTCTGACTCATAGCGACCCTGTAATACAGAGGACTGTCCCTTAGAATTCTCAGTGTACACGGCAGACTAAAGCATCTTTCTCCCTTAGAATGACTGAAGGGTTCACACCACCCATTAGGGATTCAGGAGGAATCATGGTACCTACTGAAAGCCATGTGGAAAGTTAACCAAGCTCCACCCACTCTCCACTGAGTCTTTCCCCTAGCAAACTTCCCTCTACACTGTTGAGATTTGTTCCACTCTCGCTTGGGATGGATCTGGAATACAGCACAAAGCATTTTCTAAAATCAAAGCCTTTTCTGCCTTGCTGGAGACCATCCCAGCTGGCGACAGAAACACGTGCACACAGAAACTCCTAGAACACTCTGTCCTGGTCCCACAGCTCTCACAAACAAAACAAACCCGTACGGCTGAGCTAGAAGGTCTGGGTGTCATTTATTGACAATTTACACACATTTGTTTTTCCCCGCAGCTGTTCCCTTGAACACGGAGACACAGAGCCTTCTAGAAGGGCAGTTCTGAATGAGCAAGCCAGAAATTCAGGACACACACATCTTTGGCAGGTATGATTGGCCCCAGCAGGATGTAATCCTTCACACTGGAATTCCATTGAGCATTTCAGGGGACCACATTGGAAGGTGCAGCGGAAGCCTTCTGTGGCCTCCCATCTCAGTCCAGGCCTCCTCTCTGACTTATCCAAGTCCATCTCAGTGTTTAGGACCCTGGGGGGCAGCAAGATCAAGCCCACCCACCTCACCAGGGGCAGATCCTTCGATCCATGCCTTGTTATGCACACACCTGCTTCCACTGGCCCCACAGTTAATGAGAATTAGCCTCATGGTAAGAGATAGACTACTTCCTCTCTGACCCTCCTGGCATGTCTTCAACTGGTTTGCTGCAGTTACTGAACACTGGGGGCTGCCTTCTCCATTCAGCCCGTGTGCCATCTTTCTCAAATCTCTATGTTATAACTGAGGCTACAAGTTGACACAAAACAGCAACTGCTCCTAGCCAATTACAAGATGCCTTGCCATCCTTCTGCCAGTCAGTCACCACTACTGTGGCTGGTATGCCTGCAGGTCCCAAATGTGGGGCCAAAGCAAGTCTACATAGTTACTTGGCAATTTTGGTAGTGGGTTCAAGTGGATGGACATGGAAAGAACGAAAACGTTTCATTTGGTAGAGTAATTCAAGATCCGAAGTGATTTTATTTCCGTCACTATTTAAGCCAATCATGAAATTTCACAGTGATTTCTGGGCTAGGGCAGAAGGAAGGCTGTGGTAAGAACCAAGCGGGCGGCCTCACTGGGGCAGCTGCAGCAGCACTGACTGCCCCTGAGGCAGGTAGGTGATGTTCCGAGAGCGGGAGAGCTGGTAGGCAATGTCCTCTGCTGCCTCCAGCTTGCGCAGCTCAATCAGGCCATCGCCCGCAGTGGCCAGTGAGTTGGCGATCAGCTCTGCGGCCTTGGAGTCACCCTCGGCGGAAATGATGGCAGCCTTCTTCTGCTGCTCGGCCTGAAAGGCAGAGAAAAGACAGACCACGATCAAAGCTCAGCTCACCAGACGTCAGGTCACCTCGGCCAACAAAGAATCGTCCTGGTCGTCTCTGTCTTCTTCTTGATGAGGTCAACCAGGACTCTCTCCATCCAATCCTTCTCTTTAATGCCCACTTTGACCTGTATTTACTGGCTGTGTTGGGACCTGTCTTACTTCAAAATCATCCTTCCTATTAATAGTAACCTCCTTACTCTGAGTTGGGAGGACCCAACGCAAAGAAAAATGGGAAAAGGGAAAAACAGCGAATTCTCAGACTCATTTCCGCCTCTGGTCCCAAGTCATAATAGCTTTTCTTCGACACCAAACAGCTAAAGAGTCGCCTGCATATGGGACTCCCACAAGTAGGCCCTGCCCAGGAACCAGTCACCTAGTATGAGGATTTCTCCATCTGCTGGGCCATTATTTTTAAGACAACACATATCTGCTAAGTGAGATCTTCAAAGAAATTGAGTATTTTAGAAATGAACACACAATTCTGGAACTGCCAGGCTGGGTATGTTCACTCTACAAGGTATTTCTTAATCACTCTGGGAGGTCTAGAAATTTATGGATTTTAAACTCTGACTTATCTAGGCTCTAGAGACAGAGGGCTACAAAGCAAAGACCATTCGTGTCCACGTGGTGTTTACTGTCTCCAAAATGAAATGTCAGCCATCTCTGTATCTCTTTCTTCTCTAAGAACTAATGGCTCTTAGATGAGGAAGAATTCTTCTTTGGGGGAAGAGGGGGTGGGTGACAGCAATAAAAAAAGACTTTTGCAAAGATTAAGCTGCTATGCAAATTTATTGTACCCTATCAACATCTGGATGGATTTAGTGCTTATAAAAAAAATCTAGTGAGGACAGCACATCTGGCGCCAATGTTTGATCCTTTTTGCTGTCAGCTTTCACTATGGAACCTGGTTAAAAATGACTTCCCACTGAAGCTGAAAATATTCCAGAGAAACATTTTTATTTGTAGGACAGTGTTTTTGATCTTAGTGAAGTGGAACAGAAAAATGACCCTTCAGTGGTTTAGGAACATAACTTCTCATATCCCTGACAAGCCCCTAAAGACTCTGGAACTGATTGTAGGAGCGCGGTCCCTTCCAATCATTCCGGAAGAAGAGATGACAGATGACGAATTTCCAGGCCACCCAGCAAATGGGGAAGCTGAGCACAAGAGAGGGAGAGAGCCTCCTGCCATCTGGTGGAACACTCACCTTTTCCACCACAAATCTGGCCCTCTCTGCTTCCTGCTGAGCCACCTGTTTGGCTTCTACTGCTTCTGTGAACTCCTTCCCGAAGGTCAGATGCGTCTAAAGGGAGAAAGTGAGCACAAGATGAGGCGGTGTAATTGCTTAGACAGCACTGCTGGGAGGCCCCCGCGGCCACTGAAAGGAAGAGGCCAGGGATGGCTCTAGCAGCTGGAGGCATCCGCAGAGCCAGAACACCCGTCCACCTCCACATCATGTCCTACGTGAGCTCACAACCCAACACCCTCCAACTGCACATCACGTCTTGCATGAGCTCACAATCCAAAATCCTTAGCTGCCCAGACTGTCACCCGCAGTGTGGGAATCTCAGGTAGAAAAAGGCACCTGGGGAGGGGGTGAGGGTATGCTCAGGCCAATAGGCACTACAAGGTGTCTATTCTGTAGGTCACCTCCCTAGAGAGCAGACCTGGATGCTCGAGGAGCCCCATCATTGACAAGTGCTCTTCCTAGGTCCTCTGATTCCCTGTTCAAAAAGTCCCGGAGGAAGCCAGATGGAAAACAGCCCCTGAGAGTGAGGGATGCAGCTGGTTCTCTGCAACTCCAGGCCCTGATGCAACCTGCTTATGGTGTCTCTTTTCTCACAGCACCTCCCCTCCCCACACAACACAGGGAAAGGAAGAGGGGGACAGCAGAACTCAACCACTCTCCTCTCTGTATCTGAGCGGTTCTGGTAAAGGGTTTAAAATACAGAACAAGGAGGCAGGCAAAGCCATTGGTCAGGGATTAAAATCATCCATAAATTTCTCTAATACCATGAGTAACTGAGACTTGGCTAAAGTGACTGTCCCTATTAACAGTGCAAAAACAAGACAAATCTTAGAACTCCTAATGTCTTGTCTCTAGTGATTTAGTTACTCAACCAGCTTTTTATTAAAAAGGAAAAAGGTAAAGGGAAGGAAAGCATTGGTTTTTCTATCAAGTTCCCATTTGTTTCATTTCCTTCTCTACCCTCCCAATCCTTGCTTTCTGAAATAGCTGCAGCCCAAAACTTCTGAAGACTAGCTCCAGTCTTACTTCATCCCAGCACTTTAACCCTCCTCTTAAACTGCAGCTGTTCTACACAGCCTGCTTCACTTCTGGGCTCCTGCCTTAAGTTTATGGAAGAAAATGCAGCCCTGAGAAATGAAATGTGTAATTAAAGGGCAAAATTTATTTCCAAAAGGGCCAGTCGAGGGCAGCAAATTCTCCATGAAATCTAATTTTCTTCTTGCACCTCTTAAGATAGGGTTTCTTGTGGTCAGCCCACAGTTCCCCAGAATGGACTGTGTGGTTACAGTGGAGTAAAATGCCAAGCGGCTTCTTAGGTTTTACTTAACATTTTCTCACAGCCAAGGTTAACAGTAATTGGGGCTGAGACGGAGGAACTGTTTTCAGAGTCAAACGGCTGCAGCCTGGCATATTGCCAGTAGAGGGAGCCCACAAGTCCTTGCACTTGAGCAATTGATGCAAGGTGGAGCAGTGCCCTGCGGGTTAGGAACGGGGTGTTGAGGAGTGTGAGTGTTTAAACAGCTGCACAGATGCTGAGGGGGAAACGGTGCCTTTCCCTAGCGATGCACAGGAGAACTGAACAGGAAACACTCTACCTTCCTGCCCGAACAAATCACTCCAAAGGATTTTTTCCCAGAGAATCAGAAACACAACCCTTTCCCCTCACCCTCCTCAATCTGAAATGCTATCCTGCCTGTATTGCTTTCCGTCTGAGTTATGACATTCAATGTCATATAAATACACAGACTATAATGTCCCAAGAGGATAGCTTACGCCTTAGAGATGTCCCTTGCCCTCCATATCAGGCACTGGGGAACACAGCTACTCATTTACACTCTATCACCTTTCACTAGGGGTTCCCAGAACTCACTTCACTGAGCTTTGGACCAGAAGTGTTAGGAAATTCCCAGGAGTCAGGCAGGGCGGTCTGAGCTAGGGGAAAACGACCAAGCTGTTCTCTAGTCTCCACCAGGCAGTTACTTCTTGTGTCAGACAGATTTAACAAGACATCACTTCCTGTGGAGCTTTGGGCAACCCTCGCACTGCTGAGTAGGTGAAAAATCTGGTGGTCTGGGACCATATGGGCAAGGCCAGAGGTCATAAAGAAAATGTGCAGGGCAGAGGAGAGGTAACAGAACCCTAAACGAAAAAACGAACCAAGGAGATGGCTTCATTCAAAATTTCAAGTTTCACATCCAGGAAGATAAAAGGTAGGCTTAACAATGCCCACTCAGACATGCAGCCAGGCAGCAGGAACTGCACACCCTTCCCCACAGCCCCCCTGCAGATCTTACCAAGGATACATCATCCAGGATGAGCCCAAAGGTGGCCGCTCGCTCTGTGAGGTCATCGCTCACCTGTCTGGAGACCAGCTCTCTCTGGGTGATTAGTTCTCCAGCATCAAAGCGAGCCTGGAATCAGAGGGAAGACAGAGGAACAGGGTAATATAATGAGAAGGCAGAAACTATGCAAACACATCGGAGCCAACCCAGGACCAAGCTCACTCGGTCCCCTAACATCATCTTAGGGCTGCACTCCAGGCTGGAGGTAGAGGGGCTCCACGCACTCACCACCACGGACTTGAGGATCTCTGTCGTGATGGACGGCAGCACACGCTCATCATAGTCCTCCCCAATGCTGGTGTAGATTCGAGGCAGCTGGCTGGCAACAGGCCGGAAGAGGATTCGCAGTGTGATGTTGACATTCTGTAAATCTTACAGGAGGGGCACAAGGACTGGAGTCAAAAACCACAGTATGGACACATGTGGCCTTTAGTCTGATCTCTTCTGCTCAAGATTTGCCTTTATACATGTTTACAAGCATATTTGTGGATTAAAGAATCTTAAATAGCAAAAGAGCAAGTTTCCTATTCACTGGTAGAGAACTCAGCAGAGCATTATACAGTCAAGAATTTCTTAAAGGTTTCTGGTAACAACAGTCTTTTCAGTATTTCCTGAATGCCCTCTGATGTAATTAGCGATTACAATTATATGTCTAATAAGTGCCAGGGATTTTTCAGAATGCTGAACATGGACTGTTGAATATGGCCTAAAAGTAGGGCTAATGAAAGTAGCACTGCACCAGCAACTTGGCCACCTAGCCCTACTGTTTACTTTATAGCTATGTGGCCTTGCTAAGCCAATCTGGGTGCATTTCCTTTTCTATCAGAATGGGGATGGTTCCATCTGCCTTCCAGGCCTTGTAGGAATGCTGGGGAAGTGGAAGGAATGCTATAAAATCAGCTTCAGCGGTCTAACAGATGTAAGAGGTTATCAGACTCATTCATATACCACTTCTCATTACTGGGCCTAGTCACAGGACCTTCTGACATCTGACAATCCAGGCCAGCTCAGAGCTAAATTATCAGCATACCTTACTCGTGGCCATAAGCGCTACGGCTCAGGAAACATGAGACAAGAGTCCTGAAGCAGTCATGAAGAGTGGGGATGGAGTGGTAGAGAGAGAGAAGTATATGAATACATACAGGTCCCTGTAATAGTTCTGGAAAGGGACACATAATACACCCTTAAAACAATTACAGAACAGTATGGAAAGAGGTCCAAAAGTGGTGGAACATTTAAAAGCAGAGCTTTTACATTGTTACTGTGTTTCTCCATTATTCCCACCCCACCTTAAAATTCCTTTTTTGGATTAGGCAAGGCAGACCCTTAGCAGGAAGCTTCTTCATGAAGCTTCATTTCTCTGGCCAGAACAGACTGAGAAGCAGCAACTCAACGTCCTCACCCCTCTTTGTCTAACGCACTTCTGTTTGAGATCCTGCTCCAAAGTCAGTTCTCCACAGGAACCTTCCCCAGAAACCCCTGAGAGAATTAGTGGCTCTTTCTTTTTTTTTTTAAATGTGTGTACCAGCAAATTGGATCTGACTGGTACAGGAGGAGATTGTGCCTCCTTCTTCAGCAGAGTATCTGGTGGATTTGAACCGCATACCTCTGGGATTGCAGTGCAGCTTCTTGCCACTAGGCCACCAGAGCTCACCATTAGTGGCTCTTTCTTGTGCTTCCACTATGCTATGACCTTGACCCTGTAATAGCCTGTTCACCTGTCCATCATCCTGACTTGACTGAGCTCCCTAGGCCAGACATCTCTGTAACTTCTCTTCATGGTCCACCCCAGCACAAAGCCTGGCACACCACAGTAAATAAAACATGTGCTGAGGAATAATGTCAAGTCTTTGAGTAGCATCAAAACAATATACCAATATCCATGTGACTTTCTCTTCAAGTACAGAAATGTCCCTGCTGAACCAGACCTGTGAGTCTCTGTACTGCAAGCACCTCTATGTGCAAAACAGAGAATAGTAAGAGCAATTCATTTTTGGCTCAGAATGGAAATCCAGTGGTGTCATGAACACCAGGAAACGACTCAGGGATGTGTGTGGCCTCAGCCTGGGAGATAACATGAGGTCAGCACTGTTGGAAACAGGCGTTGGAAAGCAAGGCCAAGGGTAAAGTACGCTACAAAGACAAACAGAACAGCTAGAGATTGGTTTGTGCAGTCACTCTGGGGAATAAAAACTGGTGGGAAAGGCCAACAAAGAGGCAAAACCCACAGTGAGTTTTCTTTAAAATCAGATCTCCTTTTTAAAAGATGTATCTCTGGGTACTTTTTAAATCTGGACAGCCATCTGTGTGTGTACTTGAAGTATATGTCATTTCTTTCTAAATGTTCATACAAAACTCTAAAGGGCAACAGTATTATTAATTTTGTTATTAAAGTCTCCCTTCCTCTTCTAGATCCTGGTCCACAGAAGCTTCTGGGCCTGATGAGTACGCACAGCACCCACTCTACATTCCCTACTTCACCTGAGCCACAGGTAAGACATGACTCACTCACCTTTGCTACCAGTAATCACTGGCACGTTACGTGGTCGAGAGCGGCAGTCAAAGAGAATTGGCTTCTGTACCCAAGGGATGAGAAAGTGAGTCCCTTCCCCAACCACAATGTCCTGGACTCCACGGAACCGGTCAAAGATGACAGCTCTGTGCCCCGCATCCACTAGGAAGAAGGTTAACAAAGAAGAGGTCAGAGCAAGCCCTCACCCTTTAACCTAGAGGATATCTTTCCGAGATCCCTTGTGCCTTCTGGTCATTAAGCCTCCCCTCGCCTGTTCTGTCTTCCTGCACTTCTGGTCTCAAAAGGCCTACAAATAGCTACAAAACCAAGTAATCACTTCTTGTCCCTTAAGTCTCCCCAAGGGCTTTGGTAATAGGATCTGCTTCTCAGAGTCCCTTCTTCTTAAAAGAACTGTGATTAACCATCCCCTCCCTAAATCACCACCAACATGTTTCCAAGAATCGGCTCCCAAACTCCTTGCAAAAATTTTATTGTTGCCATATGCAATCGTGGCTCCAATTTTACCCACTGTAAGCAGTAACCTCGCTCTGGGAACCCTAACATTTAGAAGGTTTCAACACACAGAACAGCACAGGGTTCAGGTCTGCTGTTCGTAGGGTGACTGAGTTGTACACAACTCAACAGCACCTAACAACATTCTTTTTAATATTTCCGTTTCTCTAATGGTTAAAAAACTGTCTTGCTGAATTGAGATTGAGAGATGGTAGTTGGTTGTGCAAGTGTGGCCATTAGAGTCACTGTATAAAGATGTGCCATATAAACCAACCAAGCTTTTCTGATCAGCTGCCTCTGGACTCTATAGTTGGTTCCACAACCTCCACTCTGAAAGTAAATCTCTCTTCTTGTCATAAAGTCATATACAAGGTGGGTCAGCCTGCTGCTGCTTTCCAGTGGTTATTAAAGTATGCAATGCCCAAAGTGCAAACGATCTTGGAGAAAACAAGTTCTTTCTCACCCTTTTTTCAACGGAAACACTGAACCCCAGAGAGGTGAAGCGACTTGCCCAAGATAAGCAAGCTAAAAGCCCCACCACCGGTTTAACCCTGGGCAATGTATTACAAAGATAATTCCTCTGTAACTACACCAGCAGAGGAATAGCTCAGAACAAGGTCATCTGAAAAGATCTACCCCCGTGCCAAGTTTTGCCATTTCAGCTAGCCAGGGAAAACCTGACACTGCTGGAGCACAGTGAGTGGTTCCGCATCACTTCAACTTAACAAGAGACGGAAACCACCACCCTGTAATCCGGCTCACTTTTTCTCATTGCTGAATCATCAGTCGGGGCTGAATTCACATCTGACCCTCCACTGCATTTCTAAAGCTGTAAATTGCTTATGAGGAGACTACTCATCTATTTCCTGCAGAGCTGCTGGATAAACAACCAGAGAGGCCTGGCCTTTGGATTAGCATGCAACTTCCTATGGACTACATCATTGGGCTGGGCAGGTCTTTTTTACAATCAAGCTCTCAGAACCTAGGGCTAAGAGAACACTAGGTTCTCTATAATGAAGCACATCCACGTTGTGGGGTAGCAGTGGGTAAGCCCTTTTGTCACAAACAGAATTCTTATCACAAGTATCATATGGATTATACAGATCAAAAGGAAATTTCTGGCAAAGGGTAGTGTCTCACCATTGTACAGGGCAGAGTTCACCACTCCTCCAGCAATCGCTAAGGCCAAGCCAAACTTGCCAATGGACTCAAACACTTTGGCAGCCATGTCTTCTTCTAATGATTCTTGCTTCTTAGCCCACTCACACCTACAGAGACAAAAAAAGAAGCAAATTTAAAAAATCCAAAACCTGCATGGGACCCTCAAGTTCCTAGAAAATGCCTTTATGGCACAACATTCACATCTCAAGCTGGATATTTCTTACTCCCGAGTGCTCTACATTTCCCACTGAGCAGCACCAACAAATAGCACTCTCCAATTTAGAAACATGCAGTGTTAATTCCTCTTATCCCCCCCGCCCCCCACAACTACTTAAAAGAATGGAATCTGGGACACTTGGTTCAATAATGGCAACCTGAAGGTAGGAAGACTAAGGTGTGAGACTGATTTGAAGCAGAACTTTTATCTATATGCTAACTCTCCTACTTCCTGGACAAGGTCTCCAAGTGAGAAGTTGGTTGACTGGTTCAATGAAACCTATTCTAGTTTGGAAAAAGAACTCAAAAGACTGTTACAGGGTGATTACGACAAAAATAACAGCTAACAGAATTTGTCACAGCATGTTGAACTGGATGATTATAGTTGAGAAAACTGAGACATAGAGACATTCCATGAGTAAGAACACACAGCGGCAGACTGGAGCGCCCAGCTAATTCTAGAAGGTACAAGCTAAACCAACACTACACTGGTTGTCGCATGGTGACACCACATATGCTTGTCAACACCATGCATTTAGAATGCCATTATAATCGAAGCAGGGGCTGGATAAAATTCTGCAATCTACCAAGAGGCATGGATCTGGGTATAAAGGCGTGACCACCCAGGTGAAGAGCACTCGGGCCGTGCTAAATGGGCGGAGCTGAAGGGAGTGGGCGGACCAGAGTAAGCCTAATTTTAAAACTCACTCCAGGGTTCAACTTTTCGCCCTCTAGTTTTCATCTTTAATGCTCCACCTCAACGCTTTCATTCCCCTCTGTCTCAAATCCTCCCTCCTTGCTAAACTTCAACTCTTCATATTAATCCCCCGTGCGTAGGGCTTTTGGTTCTTTCCCCTCAGTCTTTCCATTTCAAACAGCTTCTGGATTATTCCTCACCCTGCCCCCATACACACCTCTTCACTCATGCAACCTTGGTTCGTCCTGACCCCCTTCCCTTCATTTTCCCCTGCGTAAAGGGACTCATGCACGGATCCCGCTCGCAAAAAGTGAGTATGGGAGAGAAGAATTTGCAGATCTACAAATACAGGCCTGAACCACATTCCACCACCCTCACCTGGTTCCACTCTGACCTCCACATGAATTCTCCAAAACTACACACTGCGCATGCGCCCTGCAGCTCCGCCTCTTCCCTGCCCGCCTTTCAACATTCGTGTCTCCGATTGGTGGAGAGGAAAGCTATGAGTTCTGGGAAATGTAGTTTGTAGTCTGGTCCTGACTCCACGACTCTTCGGAAGTGGACTACAATTCCCAAAAGGTCATGCAGCAGACGCCGGTTTAGAAAGACGTCTTTCCTTTGGCCATGCATAATCGCAGAGAAGTTACCGCAAAGCCTCTAGGGGATTGCAGTTCTTGAGGAATTAAATGTGCACGCTTACGTCCTCCCGTGCGATTGACGGATTCTGAAAACCTGCTGGAGGGTCAGCTATGGGTCCGTTCCGACTGGACGATATAAAACACCAACACGTCTGTGCCTATCCTCAGCGGTGAAATGTGCAAAGAGCTGAAGTTTGAAAATCAAAAGAAAAAAAGGCTCTTGGCGTTTCTCAAGTGAAAAAGAACTGAAGATCAATTTGAAACATCGAGTTTCAATACTGAAAACACTAAGGGCGAAATGATGCAGGAAGCATAAAAAAAAATGGAAAGACACTGCTACGAACATTGGCGTACTAGTCTCAGACGTTTTGTGCCTCGGTTCTCATTTCTAAGCAGTGAATAGCTGGGTCTTGTGGAATTTCTACATTCAGCTTTCTGAGAAAACGCCAAACTCTATTCTAGAGTGGTTGTACCATTTTATAATCCATCAACAGTGTGTACAAGTTCCTATCTCCTCTCCAACATTTATTACTTGGTGTCCTGTTAAACTTTGCCATTGTTACTGGAAAGGGTATCTCATTGTGGTTTTGATTGCATTTCTTATTGTTCAACCACAATTGAATGGATTGAAAAATTATGGTACATTCACACGATGGAATACTACAGCACACAGAAGCAATGGTTTTGTAAATCACTAACTAAATAAGGACAAATACTATGTAAGACCATTATTGTAGAATGTGTATGAGAAGCCAGGCGGGAGAACAAAGGAATGAGAATGGGTGTGTGTGTGTGTGTGTGTGTGTGTGTGTGTGTGTGTGTGTGATCATACAGTTGCACAATTTGATGGGTGGAGGTCGGGGGTGTGTGTGTGTGTAATCATACAGTTGCACAATTTGATGGGTGGAGGGAGGGGTAGGTAAAGGAAGTAGGAAAGGTCCGTGTGAAAAACAATGTATACGAACTTTCTAAGTAAACCAGCATAAAATAACAATTTTATTTAAAAAGAGAAGATGGAAGGAATATAAAGTGTAACTGGACAAAGAAGAATAGGTCGACACTGAACCATTGCAGGAAATAGCTTATGATCAAGAACCAGAGTTCTCAACTTTGTCGTTAGTCTTAAGGGTCAGCTATGGGTCGGTTTCGACTCTACAGTACATCACACATACGCATAACAACAATATATATTTTTTTCAAGCTTTATTTCTTAGTTATAGAAACCATTTAACATTTTATAACTGTATAATAAGGAAATTGCAAAAATTATAGAAAACTAAGTTACTCTAAATACACCAATATCCATACCATAACTTTACCAACTTTGAAAATTCAAGAATATATACTTATCAGCCTCAAAAACAGCTGTTGTGGCACAATGTTTGAGCTTTTAGCCACAGTTCAAAGGCTCACTGCTGGCTCTAAAGGGAGCTCTGGTGGCTTAGTCAATAAGGAGTCTGACTGACTGTCAACCCAAAGCCATGCAGTTCTAATCCACCAGATGCTCTGAAGGAGAAAGATCGGCAATCTTCTCCCATGCAATTTACAGCCTATGAAAACCTGCTGAAGGGTCAACAGTAAGTTGGTTCTGACTCATGACAGCACAAAACCACAACGGTGACTCTAAGGACAAACATCTAATGATCTAATCTCATAAAGATAGCCGCAAAGGAAAGCTAGTAAGGGCAGGTCTGTGTGAATGGACTGCACAGAGCAACTCCATCAGCGTAGCAGATGGTGTCATCACATATCATCAAGCCTAAATACACTTGAGAATGAAAGGGAGGAAAGTAGCAAGTAACACTGCCTTAGCATTGTTGCTGTGTACCATCGAATCAGAATAGATTCATGGCTGATCTACCAGTGTTTTTTCAGAGGGAGTAAATTACATGGAAGGAGACTGTTCATCTTTCTCCAGCAAAGCAACTGGTGGATTCAAACCAAATATTAGGAAAATAGTTTTTTCCTGTGGAATCTTCTTGTAGACCTCTGTGTGCTAGACAAAAGAGACATCTCAATAAGTCAGCATAGTTTTGCTTTCAAGGAGTAACCTAGCCAATGCTCTCTGTGTTTATTTTAAGAATATCCTTTTACATAAGAGGGTAAATTTTACAGTGATAGAACACTTTAAGGTACTCTCTGAGAGCTCTGGTGGTCTAGTGGTTCCAGAGCTGTGTTGCCAATCCCAAAGCAGGTGATTTAAATCCACCAACTGTTTCATGGGAGAAAGGTGGGCAATCACTTTCCATGTGATTCACAGCCTTGCTGGAGAGTCAGCTATGAGTTGGTTACAACTCAACAGTAACGTCGATGTACTGTGGAGTCAGAAGTGACTCATGGTTAATCTCTAATGGGCTTTCCACTGCAGAACATTTCACAGAAAGAGATTGCCCAACCTTCCTTGTGGTTGACTTGATGGGTGAACAGTCTTGAGCGACTGGTGGATTTGAACTGAGTGCTTTGGTTTGGCAACACAATTCTTTACTCCCTTCAACTGGATTTTCTTCCCCTCCCAACACTGGCTGAAGAGGATTGATTTTAGTTCTATTATGTTTTTCTCCACCCACCTCTTGCTATCAAATCCCTTTCAACTCACAGCAACCCTACGTAAATCATGAGTAGATGTGATCATGAGGTCTGCAAGTTTGTGAATCTTTAGGGAAGCTAATTCTTTCATCTTAACTCTTGTGGAGTGGCTGGTGGGTTTGAACCACACACCTTTCAGTTAGCAGCCGTGCTCTTTAACCACTGCAACCCCAAGGCTCCTATACCTCCTTAAACAATAAACTTTCACCTCCCCCCAACACACCCCCCCACACACACAACCAAAACAAGTTACCCAACAACCGGAGAAATAACCAAAACCTCATCAAGCCCTCTGCTGTCTAATTGATGAATTCAGCAACCCTGTATCAGTTTCAAATCTTAATGAAAGGAGGTGGCCCATCTTTCTCCTGAGGATCAGCTGGTGAATCTCTTAGCCTTTTGGTTAGTGGTGCAACATGCTGCAGACTCCATCAGCACAGGGCTTTCCGCATAGCCTTCTCCCACTGCCACCTGACCGGAACTGACTCAGAGCTGACCCTCCCCTGGGTTTCCAAGGCTATAAATTGGGTTAGCAATTTAACTCCCTATGGACCCACCCCCAGAGCTCCACTCATAGCTCCTTAGCCTCATTTGATCCAGAATTCCCCGCCTCTCCCAGGCTTCCTTTATCTTGTATTACGTTTTAGAAAACAGAATGTTTCTAATTCTGGGTCTGATTATTCCTCATGATTCGATTCAGGTTTTGCTTTCCTAGCTGTGATACTTCTTAAGTAATGTTATGGATGCTTAATCTGAATGACTCGCTCACTGCCTTCTGACTCATTCATAGCTGACCCTCCAGTGGGTTTTCAGAGGCTGCAAATCGTAAGGGAAGAGATTGCCCATCTTTCTTTCACAGAGCAGCTGTGGAGTCAAACTCACAGAGAGACATCACCTTTGGGTTAGAAGCACAGGGATTAAGCTAATGAAACTGGGATAATTTCTGGGCTCCAGAAGGACTGGATTCATTTAACTCTGTTTTCTTATATTTCTTTTTCTTGCCTCCTCAATGCCAAGAAGACAAAGATTCTCACCACTGGACCAATTGGTAGCATCAGGATGGATGGTGAAGAGATTGAGATTGTTAACAATTTGAGTTTGCTTGGCTCCATTGTCAACACTCTCGGCACCAGTAGCCATGAAATAAAAAAATGTATTGCCATGGGAAAGTCTGCTGTTAGGGACCTCTTCAGGGTACTGAAGAGCAATGGTGTCACTCTGGAGACTAAGGTACATCTAATACAGGCTATGGTCTTTGCAATTACTTGTTATGCATCAGAGAGTTGGAAAATTACTAGGAAGGACAGAAGGAGAATTGATGCCTTTGAGCTGTGGTGCTGGAGAAGAGTATTGAATGTACCATGGACTGCCAAGAAGACAAACAGATTCACCCTAGAGGGGTTAAACCAGGCTGCTCCTTGAAGGCAAGGATTCTGGGGCTTCATCTGACATACTCTGGACATGTTGTAAGGAGGGACAGGTCCTTGGAGAGGAACATCATGCTTGGGAGGGTGAAGGGACGGCGCAAGAGGGGAAGACCCTCTATGAGGTAATCGGGATGGGTGTGTCAGAGGCAGTGTGATTGGCACAGGATAGAGCAGGGTTTAGGGCTGTTGTACATAGGGTCGCTATGAGTCGCAAACGACACGACGGCACATAACAACAACAACAACAGTGTTCCCTTGCTCGATTCACACAACAGCCTCCTGGTCTAGGTCTAGATTTCACATAGACACAATTAAGAACTCTGAGATCTCCAGTCTTCTCAATGTCATCACGATTTGTTATGAGCCACACAGTCAAATGCTTTTTTGCTTACCTCTTGCTAAAAAGTTTAATTTTATTTTAAGAGCAATGGGAAGTCCCTAAAAGTTTTTAAACAGGAGAAAGAATAATTTCTTTATGAAGAAACCAAGTGGCCCAAGAAAAACACCCTACTGGTCATGACTGTTGGAAATTCTCAATGCAAGAACCCAGGCAGATCACCCCAGTGAAACTGTTCTTATGTTTTTATCTCAGGGCCCTAGTGTATTATTAACAGTTGTTGTGGTTGTTAGATGCTGTCGATTAGAACTGACTCAGAGTGACCCTGTGAACAATAGATCCGAAACCTGTTTTATCGTGTGCCATCCTCATAATTTCTGACATACCTGACCCCATTGCTGCAGTCACTGCGTCACCTCATCTCATCAAAGGTTGTCCTCTTTTTCTCCAACCTTCCACCTCTCCA